CAATAACGACAGGGAATTAAGTTTAGATGATAAAACAAAGGATTATGTTCACAGAAATACCGTAGGTCAAGTACATTCGTTTCATGAGGTCACACAACTCGGGTAATATTCACGGAGAAAATTTGCATATTTGAGCGGTCGAACGAAAAAAATTATTTCTCGAAAACTAAAATAAATTTTTACAAAAAAACTACACCACAATTATTAGAACATATTGGGCTATAAAATATGAAAGTAGGAGTGAAAACAAATTTGGGTGACTTGCCGCTGTTTGTTTGATGCATGCTGACATTAGCTCTTAAATTATATTCACAACGCTTTCTTCTGACATGTAATTTGCTAAGATTTTAGAAAAACTAGTGCGCGTACGAATTTTTTCTCGAAGGACACCCGTGATAGTAAAAATTCATGGAAGAAAAAAAATAGTTTAACCTAATCACATGACACAAGACCACACCAACCTGTTATGTAACCGGCGGCAGACGCTATCTCAGCAAGTGTAGTCTCATTTTGGGGCAGACCGCCAGATGCTGCCGTGTGAAGGAACACTCGGTCTTGTCCCTCATCTGAAGCCAGTCCTGATCGAATGGGATACCTTCCTGTTAGCAGTGCAGCCCTGTTTGGTGTGCAGATTGCATCTGGCGTGACATCATGTCGCAGGCGAGCTCCTTCTTCAGCCAACCGATCAATGTTCGGAGATTTAATCGTGTCATTGCCAAAACAGCCGAGATCTGAGATACCGAGATCATCCACAACAAATATAACAATGTTTGGCTTTGCAAAAGTGACGCTTATCATTATTATTAGTGGGACTATAGTTGTAAACCATTTCGGCCACATCTTGACTCGGCAGAACCGTCAGAGGGTGTTCGGTCACAAGTTGCCGTTGGGCTCGATGTGCTTAACGCATGCGTTACACGCCACCTATCAACCATGCCTATCGGCGTGATCACAGTGATCACTCAATTCCCGTAGGGCTTGAAAAGTCTTACCTCAAGCAACTGCTAACATATGTCTACACCAGTACTTTAACAAATTTCCTGTCAATTCTTACTGAAGCTGGCGTCTTCTATTTCACACAATAATTTTAACAACTTTGTACATCTATTACTGCAGCAATAGTTTGCGCGCGAATTGTTACTGGGATACCTGTGGTAGCCCAGTCATAAAATGCCTTTGTTTTTTTGTCGTCTTTTTTTTTTTTTTGTTTTTTTCCTCCGCCACAAAATGGAAAAATTGCGCAATAGTACCCAGAGGTCATTGGGCCCTCAACACCATGACAACTAACTGTGATCCAAAGAGGTGTTCACATACTGATCACGCGTGTTATCCCTCGACAACATGACAACTAACTGTGATCCAATGAGGTGTTCACATGATGATCACGCGTGTTATCTTGATGATGATTGACGTTGTCATGCACAGACAGGGCCGGGTCACATGACGAACACGAGATTTTGCTTATAAAACTCTTTGGTCAGTAGTTTTGTACTTCAACGTATTTGGATTGCGATCTCCTGGAGCACTATAGCGCAAACGCGCAAAATACTTACAGACGCATATACAAGTCGTATTAATCGCGGCTAATCCACACTGAAAGATGTAATTGAGCGGTAATTTTGGAACGGATTGAGTCGCGAACGCTTGAAAGCCATGAAAGCCTTGAATGCCTTGTATGCTAAGTATGCCGATGTCTTAGTTGAAAAACGTTCACTTGTTGTAAAAAGCAAAATCTGAAATCTGAAACCAAACTGCATATACTCTATGCAATCTATTGAACAACGCTACTACCGTGAGACTGAAGAACATAACTATATGGGATGCAAACTGCTTGTGAAACTAGCGACTAAATACAGGAATGGCTCCGACCTGTGATTGGATCATAAAAATAGTAAAAGTTAAGAGGTTATATCTTAACTCGTTGCTCGTGAGTATTGTTAACCGCGTGTCTCGAACCGGAACAATGAGATACCAATGTAAAAACACGGATGAGTCAAACAAGAAATGGC